GAGAGAGAGAGAGAGAGAGAGAGAGAGAGAGAGAGAGAGAGAGAGAGAGAGAGAGAGAGAGAGAGAGTTAATGTGGATGTCATAGCTTGCGGCATACAGGAGTGAGAGAAACTTACCTGCTGGTGTTGTGATTGAATGTGGAGACAGCACTTTGCTTCACAGGGCCGGCATTGCCATATCCAGTACTGCTGTTTGTAGCAATGGTTGTGGGAAGCTAGGGCCATTTTGACTTCGACTAGGAGAGACATTGTACATTGGCAAGGTGTTGTGAGATTGAAGAGCCGCTACATGAGTACCTGATGAAAGGATGCTGATTTGCTTAGATGGGGCATTAGGAGGAGAAGCACCTGGTGTATAAAGAGGGAGCAGAGATAAGACCTTTTTGTATTGATTCTTATCTTGGCTCTTGGCTCTTGACTCTTGACTCTTGACTCTTGACTCTTGACTCTTGAGTTATTATTCTCTCCTCATTCTTCGTCTTCATCTGTCTGGTCGTCTGACTACATTGCTATCTCATTCCCAGTTGACTTTCGTAGACCGTTGCTAGTATTTGCATCATGATGATGTTGTGAGCTTGAGGTGTCAGGTCCATGACAGTCCATTCAGATTCTCAATTTGTGGTGCTGATTTGCTATCCACTTTTTTTTTCTTTTTTTTCCCAGTTTCTGGTCCACCGTGCTATCCAGATAATCATAATCTCACGTCTTCCTCGTTCATTCTTGTGGACGCTGGCTGACTGGCTCATGAGCCTCATGTGGCTGCTGCCTGCTCAGGGGAAACCTGACTGTTGGACTCAATTGCGACCGGCCTCTAGTGAAAGAGAAATGAGTGACCGTAGCCAGTACTACCCATACCCATAGCTGGGCAGCATTGTTGATGTAGGGTGATTGGAGGCTGTCCAGATGATCTGAGCGGTAGCCTGGACATCGAAGCTACTGAAAGCCAGAAACTCCCGTCTTCACCTGAATAGAACACCCGGTAATTATTGCTGTCTCTGGACTGAAAGTTGCACCAAATACAGCTATAATGACCGGGCAGTGGGCGTTCTATTCGGGTGAAGATGGGAGGGTTGTGTTGTGCTTGGCGGATGTAGGATACTGATGGAGAATGTGTATATGAAAAAGAGGGAACTCGATGCTTTCGCTTGTAGGCGTCATCACTTTTGAAGGCAGCATTTGTTGTATCAACAACAGATTTATACTTCATGCCCTGCTCAGTCATTGGTTTCCCTCATGAGTGTGAACACTACAGTGCTTTGTTCTCTCAATCGTTTTTTCCCCATTTCTTAGGTAGGCTTCGTGACAGCATGATGGTCCTTTTTTTT